GCTGGAAGGGGCTGCCCAGGGAAGGGGTCGAGTCCCCAGCCCTGGGGGGATTTAACAGCCGGGCAGAGGCGGTGCTGAGGGCCAGGGTTTGGGGATGGGATGGCAGGGATAGGGGAATGGTTGGGCTTGGTGAGCTTAAAGGGCTTTTCCGACCGAAACGATTCTGTGATTCTAAGATGGACCGTGTATTTGACCACTTTTGCAAACTTTTACCTTCTTGGCTTACCTGCAAACACACAGCGTTCTTCTGAAAAAAAACCTTATTCATCCTCCCTGCTCGCTCGGAGCCCACGCTCACTGCTCCCTGAAACGCCAGTGCTGAGATCTCATCTGTTTCAATGAAGACAGAAACAGCACATTGCTGTGAGCATCAGAAAATCCCCACCAACAACTTATTTCAGGAGAAAAGAGAAGAAAGGCAACAACACCTCCATTTGTAGCTGCTCCCCTGTGGAACGGGAAATGGGCTCACATGGACGAGGGCAGCACCATTGGTCTGGCAGAGGCCTGGTTAAAATGGCAAAGTACATGCAACCCAAAATCCCAGGGCAGGATATTAAATAGGGATGTTATTCTCTACCTGCCTCACAGGCTGCAGCAGACTTCCAAATATTGGGAGTTTTATGTATGCAATTAAAAAAGCACAAAAATTTCCCAGTTAAGTTAATCACTGAAACACTAAGTCTACAGACAGGGGGAAGTCTCCATTACTTGATGCTTTTGGGTGATGATTCCAGCTTGATTTAGGTCAAATGGAAGTTCTGGATGTGCTAAGAACTTCTTATGTAAAACTCCATCTATGTCATATTAGAAGTCACATCAAGGTCACGATAGCGCCTTCTATTCATGATTAGTAACTTATTTCTAGACACTTAGATGTTACAAGACAAAACAGTGACATTGGTTAAATTTCCAAAGAGTAATTTGGGATTTACCTGTTGAGGTTGATGTGAGTCACGTTGCAAATTCCGACAAGGGTGCTAGAAAGCAGGTTTCCAGAAGTGAAAAATCCGACGTCATGCCTTGCCAGCAAAAAGAATTCAAAAAAAAAAAAAAAGCAGTCCACTCTCTGCTTCACCCATCAGGAACTCTTAGTCACCACCGAAGGGGCTGCTTCAGACCCGCTCTTCACACCAAGCGAATAAATGCTACCGAGACTCTGCTTCCTCCAGAGCGTCACTGGCAGCAGATCTTCCAAATTGAAGGAATGAGAAATGGGGAATTTTTTAAAAGGAAAGAAAGAAACACACCCTTATGATAGCCTGGAAATCTAGGGGATCTTCCAAGCCATATCTAGAATAGATAATGCATAAAATATACAATGTTCCTCTGTCCAAAAGCAATGACAGGGACCAAGAAGGCACAAAAATGTAAAAACTTGCCCACATAAAACCTTGCCAGCATAAGACAAGCTGCACACATGGGCAGCCCCTCTAATAAGAAGCAGGAGATGCCACCTTGCTCCAGGGGACGGGACCTCTGAAGACCACCAAGCCCAAGCCCTGCCTTGTGCAGGGTCAGCCAGCACAGGTTGCCCAGGACCAACCTTTCCACATGCCACGCCATGGGGGAAAGCTTTTGCCTAAAATGCCTCTGTTTTACTGCAGAAAGGCAATTCTGCTGTCCTGCTGAGTATTTCTTGCGAACACGCAGCTCTTAGAAGCTTGTGGGAGGTGCGGTAAAAGTGTATGAATGGCTTTTGAGTAACACACTTTCCTTCCTGAAATGATCTTCTTGGCAATCATGAAAGCTGTTTCCTAAAGGTTTAGAAATACACCCACGTCCCCTGGACACTCTTTAGGAAAAGGTGCTTTATTCATTCATGCAACCGCTTCGTAGTACTGCAGAGTCAATGCATTTCCACAGCAGTAAGCAAGAATGAGTCAGAGCGAAACTGCACCGTCAAGATCTCTGACACGGCAAAGGAAATACAGGTAAACACAGCAGAATATCGACCGTGCGCAGGCCAGAGTTTCCTTTGTGGAATGGACACATTGGGCTTACGCTTGTACCAAAAAAAAACACAAACCAGGTTCCAAAACAGGGAGGAGGGAATTGCACAAGACTGAGAACTGCTCAGCATGCTCCGGGTGTCAAACTGAAATGACTTCATGGAGACCCACAGATTGCTCAAAATAAGAGAAGTTTGGAAATGAGCGCTCAGCTCCTCGGAGGAGGTTCCCGCAGGCCCAAAGACCCTTTGCTTTGCATCCACAAAAAACCCAGCATCCAAACCTCCAGCTGAGGCTGAGACGGACCCCTCCGCTGTGGGGGACCCGATCTGCAGAGAAGTGCTGGGGGCTGCATCCTTCACCAAAGGGTTTAGCTGTGAGCTTTGGTCCAGGGCCAGCTGCCTGCAGAGCTGCTGCGGGGCACTGCCTCCCGACGGCATCGCACCCCCTGCCCTTACCACACCAGTTTCGATGCCCTGATACAACTTAAGCAGCCATCCCGGTCTTGGCAGTGAAGCTTTATTGACCCGTGGCAGATGCGAGTCAATCCAAAATCAGCAAAAAAATCTCCCAGGGTGGGAGCCAAGGGGGGAAAGCTGAGAAAGGTGGGATCCTACCCGTGCAAATGAGTTGAGTTTAGAACTACTCGGCTTTGTCCGAGCCGCCTGCTGCTGCTCGCTCTTCTCCTTTCTCACAGCTTCTGCTGGCGGTCAAGGGGAGAAACCGCATGGCTGCGTTAGAGCTGGGGAGGAAAAACGGGTCACCCCATGGATGACACGCTGTGATTCACATCAGCTGGCGCCCCTGCAGCCGCAGACCGGGAGCAGGCATCTCCCCGGGAAGAAGAGGCAACATCAATAACAGAAGAAAAACAAATGAGAAGACAAAAGCCCACATTGTCTCTGCCTGAACACCCTCACTTACTCATGCTTCACCCCCCCCTTACTCATTCCATACAGCAAACTTTCCTCTCTTTTGCTCCTAAAAATAATAAAACAATTAGATATACAGTAACAAACAAGACTTTGCCTTTTTCCAGCATTTTTTTTTTTTTTTTTTTGCAACAAATTCATCCACTGAGGTTTGCAAATTCAACTTAAAAGAGGTTCGGTGAGGTGAAGGAAATGAGGATTGAAGCGATTTGTCCAAAGCAATGTATTGGAGGCAGGCTGGGAAGAACACATGATTTCAAAATAACACGGGAGCTTTCAAAGAAAACCCTCTGATTTCAGAAAGGCCAAGTTCATCTCCACTTTCTCTTTCTTGGATAACAGATTCCTAAATTTGTCAGTGAAATCTTTATCACGAGGAAGCAGGGTGTGTGTGTACAGATGTATATATAGAAGGAGCATGAAAGAGAGGAAATCGGAAAACGAGAGACATCAGAGGAATTATCTTCAGCTTTGAAATGGCAATTTTATCTGAGCAGGGACATAAGTCTCAGTTAACCCAGTACACCCAGTTCGCAGAGCCAGCACTGGGTTGCTTGGATGGGTCCATTTCTAGGAAACACAATAGGATTAAAGAGCCAGAAACATGAATATTCATGACCTGCTTAGACACTTTAACACCACCCACCGATGGTAGGGCGCTGGCTCCCATGGCACAGACCCCGCTCCCACCCGGCAGCCGTGCACAAGCAGTGTGTCCCGGTCGGGCTGGGCTTCTCCACCCCATCCCGACACATCGCAGGACTGATCCCGATAGCAGTCAGACACCACCAGCTGCAGTTTGGGAGCAGAGCCTTTAGATTGCTGAAGGCAATGAAAATTCAGCCTGAAAAAAAATAAAACTTAAAAATCAAGATATAAGATTATTCTGTGCATTTGCAGTACAGCATTAGAAGGCCAAGGGAGGTGGCAGGGTACTTGTGCTGGTTCATTAAGAGCAATGCTGCTGAGTTATGCACGGTGCTGGGGATCCTGAGTGCAGGTTTGATACGGAGGTTTAAATATAGAAACACTTTTTTTTTCCCCTAACAATAGCGCATTCATCTAAAAATAAAAAGTAACTGTGAGAATGCAGAAGTAACCTCACACAGCACCTTTTCTTCTTCGTCTTATATCTGAAGCTTTCCTCTTCAGCCACATTTAAATTTACAAGAAGCAAGCAATGAAAAAAAAAAATGCAGAGTCTAAGCACAAAAGATTTGATGGGGTGTGAGGAGAGGAGGGGGGTCAAGAGAACAGGAAACCCAAGTTGACGGGAAACCCAAGTGACATTTGGCTTTAATGAATGACTTAAAACCCCAATATTGCTCGCCAGGAAATGGGGAGAGGAAATTGAGCGATGTTTTGAGAGTATAAATTAGGGGCTCCATCAAGGTGAAGGCTACAGATCTGCTTTTTACCCTCCTGTGAAATTCAGCCGAGAGCTGGACCGAGAGGCCAGCAGCTCATCTTCACAGCATGCAAACCTGCTCAGCCCTGGCCTTGCTGCTCCTGGCTGCCAGCACCCTGCCTGCCCGGGGCTCGCCCCCCGAGCCCAGCTGCCTCCACTTCTCGGAGCTCCTGCCTGCAAAGCTCAAAGAGCTGAGGATGAAGTTTGAGGAAATCAAGGATTATTTTGTAAGTATAACCCTGCTCGCCTCTCCCCCTCCTTCTCGTTTTGCTTTTCTTTTTTGCAAAGTTCAGTGATTTGGATGAGGGGGAAGGCAGCTTCCTCCTGGCAGAAATGATTTGGTCGTGTGTTGTGCTATGGGGTTGACGGGGGTGAGCGAGAGAAGTTCAGTTTCATTGCTCGCTGAGAGACAAGGCGCAAAAGTTTTCCTCCTCGTTTTAGTGGCAATGAACTCAAGAGATGTCGCGGTGAATCTTTGTGAACCTCACTAGCCAGGCTTCCCCCTAAACGTTGCAGACCAAATTATTCACTGAATTAATAGAAAGGAAATAGTCCCTTCTTCAGGGCAAGGAGGTCCAGCCTCGCTGAAGTCAACACTAGGTGAAAAGGGAAACCTTTTGCTGCAGACTTTGTCTTTGAAGGAACCACAAAAGCCTTGAACATGGTATTTTATGACTCGAGAAAAGCTACAGTAACTTGCTGGGGTGCCTGGAAAAGGTCGCTGCTTTGCATCGCAGCTAACGGGAGCCTCGGGGTTGCTGAGAAAGCAGCACAAGATACACTCAGATCGTTTGGCATTGTGTCCGTACTGACAGAGATGGTCGGGCACATCCGTGTTGCTATTTTAGTTAACGTCAGAGTGTTTTAGCAATAAAACAAGATAATTCTCCAGGTTAGATCTCAGGCTAAGGTCATGGCTTGTATTTATTCTCAAATGAACACAGCCAAGACTTTAGACTTCAAGCTTGCTGTAAATCTCCTGGTTAACGTTGGGAAGGAAGACTTTTAACCTCTCGGGAAAGCTTTGGTACCTTGGTGCCGTGGACTGATGCTCTGGCTGCTGCCAGCCCGCCCCACTGCAGCTCCCTGGGCTCAGAGCTGATGGTGCGACAGCGGCAGCCCAAAACCAAACACCCTCTGCGGGTCCTTTCTCCCCTCTTGGCTCGAGACTTACAGAGACAACAAAAACGGGGGGATGACACCCCCTGCCCTGGCGAGCCGGCGGGTGGGCAGGCTGGGGGGGGTCCCTGGCTCCCAGGGGCTGCCATGGCTTTGACACCCGTCCAAAGAGCGGTGCGGTTTGCATCAGCGCTCTCACACAAACACCCTCGGCAGCTGAAGCGTGCGTGCAGCGCTGGCAGCGGTGGGAGGAGTTTCACATTAACGAAATCAAGGCTACTGAAGTTTGTGATTTCGTTACCTTGCTGCCTTCACCTAACGGTAGTTGCACTGCAAGGTTATGGACCAAAGAGGGGATGACTCCTGTGTCTGGCGTCGGGGTGCTGTGCACACAACGGTGCTGGGTGCTTTCTATGGTCCCACCCAAGCGAAGGCAAACACCAACAAGGAAAACCATAATTTGGCAGGGGAAGGGGAAAAATAGCCTTGACTGCCTGTCTAAGTAAAGCTCATTTCTATTGCATCCTTTACAGCAATCCAAAGATGATGAACTTAGCATCCAGCTGCTCAACTCCGAACTGCTTGATGAATTTAAGGTAAGAATGATAACCCTTACCTAAGCCCCTTATCCTTCGGCCAGTGTTTTGTAAGAAAGGAAGCAGATTGTCCGTTGGGGCATTTTCCACGGCAGGCAAGGACAGTTCTCCAGCCAAGCAGTAGCACGTGTGCCTGTGGCAGAGCTGTGGCACGGTTCCCCCCACATCACAGCCGCAGCGAGCGGTGCTAACGTGCTGCGAGTGCTCTGACCACCACCGTGATTTTGATTTTTAAAAACACCCACGCACACCCATGCTGGTGACCAGTCCCAACGCGGTTACCTCCTCTCACCCCAGGGGAACTTCGGCTGCCAGTCGGTGTCGGAGATGATGCGGTTCTACATGGAGGAGGTCCTGCCCAGCGCCATGAGGACCAGCACGCACCACCAGCAGAGCATGGGCGACCTGGGCAACCTGCTGCTGAGCCTGAAGGCAACGATGAAGCGCTGTGTGAGTGGGGCTCAGCATCACATCGGGGGGATGAAGTCAGTGCGAGGCAGGGCCAGTCCCAGACCAGCAGCAGGGTGGGGAGCGGGTGCTGGGTGTCCCCAGGAGCAGGGGGCAGGAGCGTGGGTGTCAGGATGGTGCAGGCAGATCCCGTAAGGATGGGGGTTCTCCTAGTCCCTGCTCTCCAGGCTTTCATCAGCTAAATACTGATGATTCAGAGGCTCTGATTAGGGGCACCACTTATCTGCAGCCGGCCCCACCGAACACAATCTCGCTGAAGGGATACAGGGAGGGAGGGCAGAGGGTCTACCCCTTACCTGGGCGCCGGAGCTGCGTGCCTCTACACTGATGCCTCCCCAAACCGCGCCTGGTGCAGCCGTGCACCTCTCAC